CTGATTGCCTCTTATGGATGAGGCTGCTGATGTGGTATCTGGCAGAGCTGTATAGACATGGGTTGGAGGGGAAGGGGAAATTGTGAACACCCTAATTTATATAGGTGAGTAGAATGTTTGAGTAGAAAACCTGTGTAGTATATCATAATTATACCACTATTTAGTTACTAGAGTGATTTGCTTGTTGCTGTTTGATTATCTTTTTTTTTCACTCATTAATCCCACCAGTGCACATTGGTTCTTATTCTGGCTCAGACCTTAGACCTAAATAAGATTCAATAAGATAAATAAAACAAAATCTCTGATTGCAAGGTGTTTGTAATCCAATTGGGAAGAAAACATAAACTGGAAGTATAAAAACAATCTGCAGATGTTATGTAACAGAAACTTTCTTTTGCTATGTATCTGACCCTTTATATAGATATGTATTACCAAATACACACAAATATATATATATATATATATATATATATCATGCTTCATATGTATATGTATATGAAGCATGATATATACACAAGGCTTGAAAGTTTATGTTTAGAACTGATTCAAAAATCCTTCCACTTACATCTGTGTTGAATATCCTGGTATTCTACATTGTTTTTAATCTTTTGACAGCATAACTCAGCATCTATGAGCATGACAAAACTGTTGATTTGGAATTGGGTTCTCAAATTATGCATGTTGGTTGTTAAATTTTACATAGTTCTATGTTTAACCATGATATTATTGTAGGTGTCTTTTAGTATAGGAGCCATGAACCTTACAAAGTTCTCTGAGTAAAGGGAGAAACAACTAAAAAAACCCTTTTCCTGAAAATTCATTCTAGAAACTCACTAAATCCATTCATCTATGTTAATTCCTACAATTTATGTAGGATGATCATCTCAGAGAAGATGGATTAAAGAGTGCAGGAGCAGACACCAAAGACAGTTACTAGATTCAAAAAGCCAAATGACAAGGAACTGAAACTCAGCAACGAACTAAAGGATAAAGGACACAATAAAAGTTGGCTCTCTAAAAAGATCACTTAAATACAGTGAGTACTGCTGGTGGAATAGGAGCTGTAAAATGACACAAAGACTCAGGGCATCATAGCTAAAACAATGTGAGAAAAACATCTAAGGGGTATAGTCGCTTAATATGATGACCATGAAACAACATTTATTCTTTTATCCACTCAGACTGTGTTGATGGATTTATTTTTGGTCTCTGAGCAGTTGGCCTCGATATTCCAATATCGAAAAAGAGAGAGACAGAATCAGAGACAGACAGAAATGACAGAGACAGAGACAGAAATAGACAGATTCTAGGTAAAGGATCAAGATATATCTTTCAAGTTATTACAAATGAAGGAGATCATGCAATCAACTTTTCTTGGGGTTTGACTTCCTTAATATAATTTTTTTCCAAGTCTTTCCATTTCCTTACTAATGAAGCAATGTTATTCTTTCTAATGGAAGCAGAGAATTCCATTGTGTATGTCTATCATATTTACTTGATCCATGCATCTACTGAAGGGCATCTGGGTTGTATGATATTCTAAATAGCAGATCTCAATAACTCAGCTGCTTAGTGCATAGGATCATATATAATGAAGCATATTAACATGAACTCCAATATATGGGAATAAGAGGATCTTATTAGTTCTTGTAGGTAGTTTGTTCTCTTTTTTCTGTTTCTCTTATTTTTCTGTACCTTGTGTCTTGTATATAACATTATTCAATATGTGGAAAGGAAGGGACTCACAGAAACAGCAGGACAATGAATGAACCAAAGCAACATTGATACTCACTTGTTGATATGTTGGATATGAACATTACAACTTAGGGGGAAGGGAATAGGGAGGGTAAGTGGGAGATAATGAGGAATGGGGTAACATTAATTAAAAACAAATGTACTCATTACCTTACTTATGTAACTGTAACCACTCCCTGCTCATTACCTATTCAATAAAAATAAAAATAATAATAATAATAAATTTAAAAACAAAGGATCAGTAAAGAGCTCCTATGCTAAAGTGAATATATATATATATATATATATATATATATATATATATATATCTTTCATAGGTATGCCCTCAGTGACTTACTTTCTCCATCATGACTCCAGTTCTGAATAGTCTTTTTTGCTATGATTTCAGGAATTTGGTGAGTGAAGTCGGAAACTTCATGATGTAATCAGCTTTTAGGAGTCCATCAGATGGCAACAAATTCCTTAACATAGAAACATTCTGGGACCCATTTCATAATGAATCATAACAGGGAATTATAAAGGATACAGTTCAACTCATTTCATAATGAATCATAACAGGGAATTATAAAGGAGACAGTTCAACCGTAGCATCCATACAAGTGACTAACATAGCAATAATTGCGATTTTCTAATCATAACTCATAAGTTACATATATTATTTATTATAGTATAATATACATTATTCTTGATCATTAAAACTCTGAAAGAGAATAGGAAGGGTATGCATAAAAATAAACAACAGCAAGAAAAATATAGGTATTAAAGAAGGCAAATAAATACCTAGTTGGTAAAAAAAAAAAAAAAAGGCAATGTTTACCTCACCTTTACACAGACATAACAATGAAAATAAAGGGAGGGGGTTTAAGAGGTAGAAAAAAGACCAAAGGAAAGAAAGAAATACACATACACATATACATACTTAGAAACACTTAAGCACAAATATATGGATATATGTACATATCTATGTACTCAGACATACATATATTTCCATTTAGTTTTTTGTGCAAAACTTTACTATTCACTACTTAAGAAAATAATACATGGAATGCCTAAATCCATCCCTTTGTGGGAAGTAGAATTTTTCATTAATAAAAATTATGGAACAACCTTAAATTCATAACATTAAAACATACATATGTATATAAAATATAAAATAGATTTCTAAGTAGGAAAATGAACCCTAAGATATGTATTTAAATTTTTTTTCTTTTATGCATTTGTTTCTAATGCATTTATAAGATTATTTCTTTGTTGCTTTGTATGTCCCTCCCCCACAGTATAACCCCTGCTTTCACTGTATTTGATGTCGGTATAATTAGTAGAGGGGAAGGGGAAAAACAAGTTGTTTAAATAACAATACAGGTGGACCCGTTGCAACAATGAGAAGTACAAGTTGTCACGTCTAAAACGAACTTTACAACTTTGGTGGGTGGGGGAGGATTGGGTGAGGGGCGGGGGAGGCTGGGAAGGGATGGGAAGGGGAAACAAAGGAGGAGGCAACAATGCTTGATAAGAAATGTACTCATTATCTTGCCCATGTAATTGTAACCCCTCTGTACAATATTTTCACAATATAAAAATAATAATAATAAAAAAAGAATTTCTGCCACCTCTTATTTGGGTGGTCCAGATAGGTATGAGTACTGTGATTTAAACTGCAGCATTAAGATGCAGGTGTCTCATGCCTGTAATGGAGGCTGAGATCTGAGGATCAGGGTTCAAAGCCAGCCTGGGCAGGAAAGTCTGTGAGACTCTTACCTCCAATAAACCACTCAGAAAAGTAACTGGAAGTGGTGTTGTGGCTCAAGTGGTAGAGCACTAGCCTTGAGCAGAAGAGCTGAAGGACATTGCCCAGGCAATGCAGCATTAATGGGAAGAGCTGTATTATGGGTGAGACTCTGGGGCTGAATATTCTTGATGTCAAGCACACAAGGACAGATGATCAAGAAGCACAGATGTAAAACATACATAGCCTTCTTTGAGGAAGTTTTTTATTGTGGAAGTCTGCTGGATTGCACAGCAGGCATGAGAAGTCTCCTTTGCTCACTACTTTCAATGTCAATATATTAGAGACCCAGCAGGAGCAGATACCAGATGTTGGAAAAAAAACAAAAAGAAACACTCAGACCTTTGATCTATAGGAATGTAAGTGTATAGGAGTGTCATATCCCCAGTCCCCCACCCAGGACCTTCAGATGCTGTCTCAGATGACAGATCAGTCCTCTGATTCTGTATTTCTAGTTAGTCTAAATTCTTCGAATGCCCCTGCTTCATTGATCAAGGGTCAATGGTCATTTTTCACCTTGTCCTATTTGTATGTCACTGTATGTTTTAGCCAAAATATTATTTTTTATTTGAATAATTTTTAATTGAGTTTTTTTATTGTGAAAATACTGTACAAAGGGGTTACAATTAAATGAGCAAGACAATGAGAACATTTCTTATCCAGCATTGTTGGTTCCTCCTTTGTTTTTCTCTTACCATCCCTTCCCTCCCACCTCCTCAGCTATACACCCCCCCCCCCAGCCTAAATTTTAAAGTCTGATTTTGTTTGCGGGGAGGAGGTATCCGGTCGTGGGGCCTGAACCCTAAACTCTGAGCCTGGGCGCTGTCCCTCAGCTCTTCAGCTCAAGGCTAGCACTCTACCACTTGAGCCACAGCGCCACTTCTGGCTTTTTTTTTTCCTGCTTATGTTGTGCTGAGGAATCAAACCCAGAGCCTCATGCATGCAAGGCAAGTGCTCTACCACTGAGCCACCTTCTGAGGCCTCAAGTTTGTTTTTCGACATAGTGTCTAGTACATCTCATTGTTGCAATTAACCACGAATTTAATAGTGTAGAGTTTTGAAATTTTCTTTCATTATTAGAATGACATCCTCATTACAAGTTAACTCCACCATTTATCCAAATTCATGGCTTATACAGGCTGCTGTATTAAATGATCTATTTCGATAGCCTGACTTGGTTATTACAACAGCATCATGAGATAAGCAAAGACCTCTCTGCTTGAAATGAAAGAAAAAAACCTCAGGATAGCTGTATTACTTTGTACTTTTATGTCACTAGAAAGTTAAAAGAGCAAGCCAAGATGTGACCAGACCAAATATGATTCAAAATACTCATTGGAAAGAAGAGGAAGAGAAGAGACACGGACACAGCTAGAGAACCCCCTCTAGAACGGACTCTGTCTGCTATGAGTTCATGCATACCAAACTTTCTATCCTATAGCCTGTAGCACCGCCTAACTAGGTCAATCCTTCTGTAGAACTCCAGGCTTTCTAGGATCTGTTCAGAGGATTTTTCTTAAAATACCGTATATGTGCACATGTGTGTTGCTGGGGTGAGAGACACTGGGCATCCAGAACTCATTTTTGTCTCTTTTCATTTCACCATTTTTTAATATAAAGGAGCCCTGAGCCATCTCTGTAGCTGGCACAGCTGTTCTATTATCTATAATTACATAGGAATAAGGGTAGTCTGCTTGTGAGCATTATCAGCTTATCCTCTTCCCGGGGCTCAGTCAGGGGTTTGGCTGGCTGTGCCAGCTGGAGCTCAGCACAGAGGATACATCCCTATTAATAAATTACTTTTAAATCACTCAGTTTCTTTCCATGAGAGGCCCATGGAGTGGAGGCTGAAGTAAAATGAAGAGCAGAGTCTTTTCTACTCTGTCCTATGACAAAAAAGATCTCAAAAGTATTCACTCATCCAGACAATAGATGTTACCACATGAAAGGTGAGCTCCTATTTCTCCCAGAAGGCTTTTCTATCACATAAATAATCTTCATTTATCTTCAATAGCTTTGTAAAATATATCCTTCTATTCTCTATTGATAGAAAAAAGAAAAAGGAAAGACTCAGTTTTGAGTAGTAAACTAATAGATGGGCAAGGAAAGAACCACGTGAGCCAAATCACAAGACCAGGGGTAAAATAAGGCGATAAAACAAAGGCTTTTGCTCATATCTCACTTACCTTGTCAAACCACTTAGTCTTTTTAAACATCAGTTTCTTCAGTTAATAAACAAATAACATGAGTCGCATCAGTAGTTTTCTTGTGTGTATGTATGTGCGTGCATGCATGCGTGTGTGTGTGTGTGTGTGTGTGTGTGTGTGTGTGTGTGTGTGTGTGTATGAATGTATGTGTGCATGCTTGGGGCTTGAACTCAGGGATTGGGTACTGTCTCTTAGCTTTCTGACACTTGTGACACATCCATTTTTTTTTGTCGGGGGGCGGAGAGGATCCATTACAGTTAAGAGTCTCACAAATTTTCCTGCCAGGGCTGGCTTCAAACCTTGATCTTCGAAACTCAGCCTACTCAGTAGCTAGTATTACTTCCAAGTGGGAACTACTGCTGGTGCCCTACAGTAGTTTACTACAGGTGTACAGAGCACTAAGGTAAGTGATTCCATTTGTCAAAAGTCCAATGAAATAATCTGTTAATAAAATATTGATTTAACTGTCAAGGTTATAAATGATTATTGTTTTAAAATTTAAGGTCATCGAATTCAATTTTCCACACTTATTTTTGCTTCATTAGATTCTTTTTCTCTTGAGAGAGATCATAGATTGCCTCAAACTAGTTCAAAAAGCAACAGTTTGGATGTAATTCTATAACAATACCTATCTCTTGATTTTACACACTCAAGATAAAGAAGCGCTTAAATCCAAAACATGTAAGAAGCATTATCATTAACCAAGAACCTGTTTTTCATAACCTCAAGGGTTTGCTGTTGTTTGTTTTTTGTGCCAGTCCTGGGACTTGAACTCAGGGCCTGGGGGCAGTACTTGAGATTTTATGCTTGAAGCAAGTGCTCTGCCACTTGAGCCACAGCTCCATTTCTTGCTTTTTGATGAGTCTCATGATATTTCCTGGCTGGCTTCAAACTGCAGTCTTCATCACATTGCAGCTTCCAGAGTAACTAGGATTAGAAGCTTGAACCACTGGCATCTGGCTAAGTTCTTAATGCTGTATCTTCTCTCTAAAAGACAGATTTATCCTGATTTATACTGTACATGTTCAGATATGGCTAAATTTCTTATTGCATATAAATGTGGAGTTCCAATGCCTGTGATTTATGATGAACCCTGTTTGTGCCTCAATTCACAATTTCACCTAATAGAAGTGTATAGCAATTTCTTAAGCTTTTGCATTTTCTGATACATGAGTTGCCTGTGTGAGACCTGATGGCTGGACTAAGAAAATTAAATATTGAAGACCAGAACCTTATCATATGATTTCTTTTTTAATTTGATCTTTTCTAATACTTGGTAGGTAAGGGTTCTGACACTGGAGCTCCACCTTCAGGATTTTTACCATTAGTTTACTTTCCATACAGAATCTAACTATGGGTCCCAGGCTGGATTCAGTCACGAACCTCTTACTTCCATTCTCCAAATCACTAGGATTAATGGGATGTGCCTATCCTAACATTTTTCTTTTCTGGTGCTATTGGGGTTAGAACTCAGGGCCTTATGCTTGCTAGGTGTGTAACCCCCTTTTTATGCCTTATTACTTATTGCATATTTATTACCTTTTATTCTTTCTTTCTTTCTTTCTTTCTTTCTCTCTCTCTTTCTTTCTCTCTCTTTCTTTCTCTTTCTTTCTTTCTTCCTTTCTTTCTTTCTCTCTCTCTTTCTTTCATTACAAAGGCCAACCTTAGACCTTGATCCTCTTAACCTAGTCCTCCTGTATAGGCTGAATGGGAAGGGTGCAACATTATGATGAAATAATCGATTAAGAAGAGGTGTTTCCCCCACTTTTTTGCCCAGGCTATCCTCGGACCATATTTCCCTTCTGATCTCAAGTTCCCGATTAGCTGAGATTAGAGACATGAGCTACCATACTGAGCAAGTGACTTTTTAATTTCCTACATCCGGTACCTCTTGTACTACCTCTTCAGCTTCTGCTATGATATTGCAACAGGTAGATTTGCCATTAAAATCCCTAGGACTAAAAGAGCAAAGTGACTACAATAAAGTTGGAGATTATTGTATCATTTGGCCCAAACTTTGGTTAGATTATTATGGTAACATTGTATTTGTGTCTAATATAGGTGTTTCTGATATGTGGCATTTCCCAATATGCTCCTCAAACACATAATCGCAATGGCTGAGAACTGTTGCTAATAATGATCTCCACCTTCCTCTGAAACATTGGAGTTCTACACAAGTCCTGAAGGATGACTTTGTTGGAATTTTCTATTGAGTTCATCACTTAGGGTTTAGCAAGCGAGGTGTTTGACACTCCTTAGAAACAAGACAAAAAGGCCTGTGAATCTCCCAAGTTTTGTCAATATTGTTTTTGTTTGTTTCTCAGTTGACTTCTGAGATAAGAGACTCACTGTGGTGCCAAGGTTGGTCCAGACTGAGCAGGGAATGCTTCGAAACCTCCAAAGGGAGCTACAAATACTCCCTTGTTCACACCATGACAATGCTTCCCCATAGTGCCACAGATCTCCAAACCAGAACTAGAAGTACCAGGAAAGTTTCATTGTGTTGGGTGGTCTGCAAGTGGTTACAAATGAATTAACTGAAGTACAGTAGAGTCTATGGAGAGCTCAGAGAGAGTAACTGGGTAGAAAGATACAAAGTCACAGAGTGCAAGAAAATAAACACTAGGAAATGAGTACTGGCAAGAGTAGAAGTGGGGCCAAGGAGAGAGAAGTAATGGACTGAAGGGAGAAAGGGGAGGAGAATGCAGTCAAGAACGTATGGCAGACACTACAAAGTCAAGAAAACTAACGGAAAGAGTAAGTAGGAGGGGGTGAGAAGGTTGGATCGGATGACACTGATCAGGATGTCTTGTATTCATAACCTGCCTCCCTGTGTACAATTGTTTAAAGATAATAAACATTAAAAAATAGAAGCACCGGGAAAACAACCTTCAAAGAAACCATAGTCCTGAGTCTCTCCCTCTCCTTGCACAATGTTGAATAAATATTGAGACTCAAATCTTTGCTGAATTGATGGTACTGGAAACTCATTCCCTTTAGTCTAAGTTCCTCTTTCCAGAGCTAGAATCCAAGATGGTGACACTCACAGGTAGTCCCACTCTGTGTCTCTGACCAAACTAAGATCTAGGGTCACAGTACACACTTTAACTCAAGATACCCACTCTAATCAAACTCTAAATATCTAAAGACTTTTCCTACTACAAAAACACTATCCCCACAGGCAAAGAAGGAGAGCAAAAAGAGAAACGGTGAGAGGCATTGAGGCTTTCTGCAGATTTTAAGCAAAGAAGCATCCAAACACTGAAGAAAGCCCTCAACACCAGACCCACAAAAATTAAAGAGGGAAAACGGTAAAGACCCCCAGAGTTGGCAAGCAGACCATGGCTCCAACCAAGCCCTTGGGCGGCAGTGCAGAAGGTGGGCCTAGCGGACTCAGCAAACATCACCATGGCAACCTCCACCCCCAGGACACCACAGCCTCAGCCAATCCCCCACCCCAAGGGAGGACCGCCCTGTGCATTGGGTCCTCTGCCAGGACCCACTCCCTCCCTGCCAACACTGGGCGCCAACCCCAGGATGCCACAGTCACCAGGATATCACTCTGCGGACTTCACCGACCCTGCACAAGCCAGGCCCAGGCCTTCATCTCCACTGCCAGCACAGTCCAGAGCTGCTGTAGACTGCACCACCCACCCAACTAGGTGGCCCTGCCCCTGACACAGCCCATAGCCGCCGGCAGCCACCCCACCCACCACCACCGCTGCAGCCCTGTACTAATGCCGCTCACCGCAGCCTGCCATCCCAAGCTCCACTTGGACCTCCCAGTGCTCAGATTCCTCACCCAGCAGTGCAAGACAATTCAGTTGCTTCAGATGGCAACCACCCCATCTGGTCCTGCCAATGCCCAGACCCTCCCACTAAGAACCTGTCAACACCATCCAGGCCGCCACAACACAGACCCCGTGGTCCAGTGCACCACCAGCTACAGATCTTGTGGGTAACTAAACTGGGCCCACTCCCTGAGGGCTGCCATTCTCTGTAGGGGCCCCTCTGACCCAAGCCCCATGTCCAAAAGGGAGGGATCACATCAGAAGTGAGCACAGATGTAAGCTCTGTTCCTAAACCTCTTGTGGCTACCTGGGAACACAGCCTCATGCCTATGATAGCAGACTACAACTCCCAATCCCCTCCAACTCCCCATCAAGTCTGAGAGTGGGATTCTAGATAGCAGTTACCTTCCCTTGTCTGAAGGATGACTGGATCCAACCAAGCCACAAGGAAAGCAGAATCGGCTTAGAGGACT